CCCAGCCGGGAGGACGCAGCGCGAAGGCCGCAGAGGCCCCGCCGAGCCGCGGGGCTCCCGGGCTGAGCCTGAGGGAGGAGGTGTGCCCGGTGCGGGCCGGGCCTACGGGCCTACGGGCCCGCTCCCTGGGACGGAGCGCTGGCCCCGTGTTCTGCGCACAGGAGGCGGCTCCTTCCTGCGGTGCCTGTTCCTTCGGGAAGACCGCGGGGCTGGGGAGGCTTTTGTTGTTGCTGGGCGCTGGGTTCGGTGAGCAACGGGGAGTTCTCCCCCGGAACCCTTGGTCGCTTCGAGAACAATAGAAAGACAGTACACGCCGTTGTGAAAACGCGTGGAAGCGATGAGTGGGGGTTCGTGCTTTCCCTTCACAGGATCGCTCTTGCATCCGTGAATTGCTGGAGATGTGTTCTTTATTTCCAAATTGTTTTCACGTTACGAGTTGCGTTTTGAAGTCTATGATGAATTTATGGTGGTATGTGGGCAGGAAGAAATTCCAAAATAAGATAAAACCAGCGTATGGCACTCTGTGTAAACATTTTCATTTTCCTTAGTTGTTTTCACTTATTTAAAATACTGTTCCAGGTGTGTTGCACAAAAGAAATTGTAACAGACGTGCTATTTTTTTTTCTGGTTTGTAGGAATTGTTAGTGCTTTGCGTTATTGTGTGTTTGAGGTTTTTTTTTTGTTGTGCATTGTGGATATGCATTACACATTTTAAAGGCCTGTATTTCATAACATGATAAAATACGTTGAAGGCTTGTTTTCTCTTTGATAATCGGAGAAAGAAGAAACAGTGCCACAATGTTGATGAAAGCAGTAAGGTTAAAGAAGGAGTTTTTGCTTAACCTGAAACTGAAGGAAGAGATCTTATTTTTAAGACCATGGAATAGGATGTAGTTTTATGATAGGAAATCAGTTAGGGAAAAGTTGGAATTATAAGTAAGGAAAATACTGCACATTAGCACAGACAGTGTGACCAGAAGTTTCCAGCAATTAGGAATTCTGAGTTATCTTACTCATAGTGCTTTCACAGGTTATGCAGATTTCCACAAGTTTGGCTTTTGTATTTTAGTTTATTTGTCAGATATATGGGGAAAACAGCATTTCTTGATCATTTTTATAGCCATGGGACTTTGTTTGGTAAGTATGTTGAAGTCTTAAGGTTTTGTCCTAATTAATAAGAAGCCAGACTGAGTCTGTTTTGTCTTGTCGGTTTAAAGTAAGAAATCCCCAGGCCTTCTGTAAGGTATTTCTGTCTGCAGCTGATCATGTGCAGTCAGAATCACAATACACAGTTGGCTTCTGAAAGTGTGAGCAGCATCCAAGTTTTGTATGTTTGGTTTGGGATTTTTTGGTCATTTTTTCTTCTCACTTGAGTGTCTGGGAACATTGTTCTGGTTGCAGATCACTAGTCATGATTTCTTTCAGACTCCAGAAAGAATAGTAATTTTTATGCTGTTAAGCTTCTGGTAAGTTGCTGTCATGGTTTGATTTATCAATCTTTCTTAGAACTCCTGTGCATGTTGTGTCTTTGTCCAGATTTGGGAATTTTAGGAGCTCTTCCTTACGAGGAAAGGCTAAGACACCTGGGGCTTTTCAGTCTAGAGAGGAGAAGACTGAGGGATGGATCTAATTAATGTCTATAAATTCATGAGGACATCAAGAAGGCAGGGACAAGCTCTTTTCACTTGTGCCCTGTGATGAGACGAGGAGAAATGGACTCAAACTGGAGCACAGGAAGTTCCACCTGAACATGAGGAAGAACTTCTTCACTGTGAGGGTGACAGAGCACTGGAACAGGCTGCCCAGAGAAGTTGTGGAGTCTTCTTCTCTGGAGACTTTCAGGATCTGTCTGGATGCTTTTCTGAGTGATCTGCCCTAGTTGTGTATGATTTTTTTGGTCCTGGTCTAGCAGGGGGGTTGGACTCAGTGATCTTTGGAAGGTCCCTTCCAGTCCCTTCCAACTCCTAATGGTCTGTGATTCTTCCAGGCTCATCACAATTTTAATTTAATTCAAAAAAGATTACATTAAGTAGATTAGCAGACCTCTGCTAACATGTTTTCTGTACCAGCCATGCTGTCTTTCAACTGCAAGCATGCAAAATACAGAAGTTTCATAGGATGCTTCTGTCAACTGTAATTGAAAAGGTTCACATAGAGGACTGCCCAAACAGTCACGAGTCAGAATTAAGCTTACAAGCTCATGAAAGCTTTGGTGTGACTTGATAGCTTTTTATTTACAAGAGTAGTTAAATTAACAAATATTTACTCTCTCATTTCAGAAGTCTCATGAAGACAATGATTCAGGCAGACTGTTCCAGAGCAGCATTTCATCATGTGCACCAAGTGTTCCCTATCGGACAACCAAAAGTGTGGATTCAAGTGACGAAAGCTTTTCTGAGTCTGATGATGACAGCTGTCTGTGGAAACGAAAACGACAGAAATGTTTCAACTTCCCTCCTGCTAAATCTGAGCCTTTTCAGCTTAGCCAGAGCCACCAAAAACAAACTGCTTTAGGTGGCAAGAAGGTCAACAACATTTGGGGTGCAGTGCTCCAGGAGCAGAATCAGGATGCAGTGGCTACTGAACTTGGGATTCTAGGCATGGATGGTAGCATTGACAGGAGCCGGCAGTCTGAGACTTACAACTATTTATTGGCTAAAAAGTTGATGAAGGAAGCTCAGCAAAAGGAGGCAGCGACTTTAGATAAGGAACTGGATGAATACATGCATGATGACAAGAAAACATCACCAGCAGAAGATGACAGTGGGCAAGGCTTTCTCAAACGGAAGCGGCCAGTAAAACAAAGACTAGGTGAAAGACAAGAAATGAAATACAAAGGAAGGTATGAGATAACAGAAGAAGATTCAGAGGAAAAAGTGGCAGATGAAATTGCTTATCGGTGAGTTGAGTAACAGTATATCTTCACTTCCTTAAGTATTGGTAAACTGTGATGGAAAATAACAATAGGAAAAAAAGCTTTTTTACTGCTAAATAAGTAAGATGTCATACCACATTACAAAAAAGCTCGAGTGCTTTGTGTGTATTTCCAAAACAATTACAATGCAGCATTATGGCTGGAATCTTGTAGAAGCATCAGGTTTTCTTTATTATTTTTTTTTAAGATCCTCCAAAATTATTTTATTATTTGAGAAAAATGGCAAGGAAAAATATTGTTTGCCATGATACAGTTCTAGCAGCGACTCTTTCAGGAGGTACCCCATAAGTAAAGATTTGTGTTTGGATTTGGACAGCAGTGAATACCTGCTGTTGTCCCCATTAAGATCTGGCTAAATTATAAATCTTTAAAACTGTAGATGACTCAAGCTGTGCAGTGTTTTGGAGAGCACAGCTTCTGAAATACACATTCTTCATGTGGAACACACTTGTCTGAAGAAAACTTGCTGCTGTTTTGCTGGTGTTATAACCAAGGACTGCTCCCAGGTTAAACAGCAGCTCCAGAATCAAATCTTTGCTCTTTCTGTCTTGTGAGACTGAGCTGCAGCCAGTGTTGGGGCTACCAAGCTGCAGTCGTATGGACACTTATCACTCTCCAGTTATTTTCTCAATCCTGCTATTGTACACTGAGCTGAGTCAGAAAGCTTACCTGTCCAAAGCCCAATGCTTTTTTTAAAGAGTTTGTTTGCAGACAGATTCGTTTCCTGAACCAATATGCTGCACAGTTTCTTTTGAGCTGGTACTGGCAACACTGGACTGGTGGTGTGAGGAAGGGCATGTGACTGCAGTCATTCTTACTTAGATTGATTGAAGCTGCCGCAATCCTTTTTCAGTGGTGCAAGGGAAGAAAATGATGTTAAATAGTGAACAATATTTACTAATGGTTAGCTTGACATTTAAATAAAACCTGGTTTATTGATTGTTTCTTACATGTGATACTTGATCTGCAAGGTGTGAAAAACAGGAATTACTAATCCTGTTAACAGTTCTTGGTAGCTTCTCAGCTACGAATTTGAGAATCTTGAGCAGGTCTCTTGTAATAAACGTTTCTTTCTTGTGTTGAGCTTCATCAAAATAGTGCAGAAGCCTCTTTTTTCTAATGGTTTATAGTAGTAGTGTCACTGCGCTGCATCAGTAGGATTGTGGTTATACACATGACGGCACTGTTGTTATATCCACACACTGCCATCTATGCCTGGATTCATAACGTGTCATTGTGCTGGCCCACACAGTGAACTGAGATTTTCTGACCATCTTTCACCTTTTTTTGCCCTGTATCTCATCCAGTACCTGTTGCAATGCACAGCTGTTTGTTAAAGGACATAGAAGAGAACTGTGCAAAGCTAGAACAAGCACTGGTTAGGGATTTAACTGTTTAAGCTGCCACTGCTACCAGCAGGAGGTCTTTATAACAAGCTTGTTAGGGAATTCTGGTTCTCTTAAAAGTTCTCTGCATATTTGAAAAACATTTCCATTTTTTCCAGTATTTCACAATTTAGAATTCAATTGTATAAATATTTAAGAAAACATTTACTTTTTCTGGTGCCTTATTCATTGAACTTATTCATTGATTAAAGACAAAGTATAACCTCAAACAGGTTGGGTATTCAGTCCTTTTCATGTTTAGGACAATTTGCTAAAATGTCAGTTCTAATGTTTAATTTCAGGTAACTTCAATCAACTACTGATGCAGTTGGAACTAGCCTGGTTCTAAATAGTTCTTTACATCTGTGGTCAGATACCTTATATTATGCAGTCACTGTGTCATATGCAACCTTATAGCACAGTAAGGTCACTTGAACCAATTAAGACTTGACAGTGGCCTTTAATAAATTTTTTGTGATGGTGGTATGTTGGTCCCCAAAGTGTAATGTACCCTTTTTTCCCTTCCTCTCAGGCTTTGTGAACCAAAGAAAGACTTAATTGCCCGAGTAGTGAAAATAATTGGGAAAAGAAAAGCTATTGAGCTGCTTATGGAAACAACTGAAGTGGAGCAAAATGGTGGAATGTTCATAGTGGTAAGAAAAATGTCATATAGTGGGTTTTGCAAGTGGTCACAGGGGTGGGGGGACACACAACATAAACAGCATTTTACTTGTAGAATATTTACACAGTACTATTCACGTTGGACAGGTTCTCCCAAAATTTCACAGCCTTCCCTTCTCACTTAATAAACACTAATATAACCCTCCCAGGCAGAATTTGAGTAAACAGTGACCTAAATGAACTTGGAAATTGTCCAACTCTTTGAACTGAGATTGGTATCTGATTTCTAATCATAACATAACTCTGGCTGCCCTTGGGATATCACCCTGGCAGAGTTATGAGTGAAGGATTCTAAAGCTTGTCTAAAAGCCTGTAGTGTTAGGATCCAGGTGAAGCTTCTGGCACAATGCTTCTGTAAGTCAGGTGGATGTTTGACAGCACTGACCTATCTACTGCTGGGTTAATCAGCATGCCACTGGAGGTCAACATATACCCACTAGTGAGCGTTTTTTATGTTACATTTGAAGAGTAACTTTCAAAAGGGAATCTGTTAGCCTTTTTAGAGAAACATTGGCTTGTGTATCAATAGAGCAAAATTCAGTACGGGATTATGTTAAAAATCCTGTACTTAATGGTTAAGTTATCAATTACTCAGTATGTGTTTGGTTTTATTACATAATGACCCTCAGTGGAAAAGTTCAGAAGAAAAAAGTATTAGGGAGCTAGTAAGTTTTTAAGACAATTGTTTATAATTTACATCTTCCAAGTTCCATCATTTGAAGTAGAGGGAAGGGGAAAAAAAAGAGGGTAACAGAAAAAAAAACAAAAAAAAGGGCAAAAAAAACCCCAAAACCACAAGCAAACAACCCACAACAAACAAAAAAGCCTGAAACAACAATGCAAAACAAAGAAAAAACACCATCACCATCCCCACTGCCCCTAAAAAAGCAACACTTCCCAGCTAGAAACTTGTCTTAGAAGCAATCTGTTGTTTTGAAAGATTCAATTAGTATTAACAAGAGATTACCAAGGAGATGAAAGGACACAATTCCTGTGGCACAGGTTGCTTTGGCTGCATATCAGAGTATGCCATTTGAAAGGCAGATCATACTGTTTTTCTTTTTGGAATTTTGTGCTGACAGCATGATAAGTATATGGTATCTGCTGTCTCAAGGACATACTTGAAAACTTCTCTTTTCCTAGAATTTTTGAGTTGTGATTGTTTTCTGCTAAATAACAAAATAAAATACATTTAATATAATATCAGAGCACTGGAGTAACAGTTCAACTTTATATAGTATAGGAGGTAATTGAATAATAGTATGAAAAGTAAGATAATTAGTTCTCATAATTTACGGAGGTTTTAAAGCTGAGTCCCTTCATGTTGCAGTATGGGGTGTTGCACCACTGATTCTGCACTGGAACCTGATGAAGCATAGGACTAGCATGTTGTAGGGAGAAAATTTAAAATTACATGTTGTGTTTTCATATGTCCTAGGCAGAAATATAAAATCCTGCACATATGCAGGAAAATTATGGAATTGCTGAACACAGTTTATTTTAAAAGTATCTAACATTTTGCTGGGCTGATGTGTTAGGAGTGTTCTGAATATTTAAGCTAGTATATACATTATTGCAGATATGTGTGAGAGTACTTATAATGTTATTTGTTTTGTTTCACTACCAAAATCAGATTTAATATGTAGTTGAGCTGTTTGGTATATGTTCTAAAGCAAATTTTTTGTAACCTCAGTTTACCTGTTCAGATGTAGCACGCTGGTTGTTGACCTTATGACTAGTACAGTCACAAACAAAGTGTAGCCAGGGTTGTTTTTATATATTGCCTAACATAGCAGAACTTAAATTTTACTATTCTGTCACAATGCAAATAATTGTCTTAGATGCTACTTCAATCATCAACCCTTCACATATTTAGCTTGCTATTACTAATTTACTTTCCCTCTTAAGAACGGCTCTAGGAGAAGAACACCAGGGGGTGTTTATTTAAACCTGCTGAAGAACACACCTAGCATCAAAGAAGAACAAATTAAGGTAAAATTGTAAAGAGTGCAAACAATCGTCTAAAGTAAATTTGGGTTTTTTTCCTACTATAAATATTGTGATTTATTGTCTTATAATTTCTAGCAAGTTTAACTCTGTATTACAAGGAAAACAGCTTTTCACATTCAAAAGTTATGGATTGCCATTCATACAAGGCAGAACGTCTTTTATGTATTGTCAGTCACAAAAACCTGTTCAGGAGGATGAAACTGTAGGGTCTGAAGAGAAAAACATTGTATTTTCCTTACTTAGAAGATACCCTACAGCAATATTATCTGCAGTTGAGCAGAGCAATGCATTGTGTGTAGATTGAATGCTGTTCTCTTAATAGATTATTTTTACCCTATATAGGTCCAGCTGTAGCACCAGGCAGTATTTCTAATTAAGTCATTTGCTGGTCTGAACCTAGTCTGAGTTGCTCACTGACCTCATTTGTGGTGATCACCAAATTAGTTTTGTCAGCTTGTAAACTTTACTGCCTTTTCTTTTAGCGTATGAAGTAGACTGAGGTGGTATTTACTTAATTAAATTAAAACAGCTTGATTTGTTTTCATACTATTTTCTACTTTAATGAAGTTTTTGTTAAAAGAAACACTTGCTGATTTTGCATGTAGGTGAGATTTTGAAATTTTTCATTACATATTTATGCAAAAGAAAGTAGAGAGTAAGTTTCCAAATCCATTCCTTGTAGTGATTGGTTAGTGATTTATATATAGTTATATCACTTTTCTGCTATCACACATGCTCAGGTCTTCACCTCAGCAGGGGTCCTTCTGACCTGGGGGTGTGATTTTTTTTTTTTGTATTACAGTGATATTATAATGAGCTAAGTTCACCTAAAGGACAAAATATCACAAGTTCTACAGCTTCAACTGCCCAAGACTGGTTTAGCCATCAATCTTCTTGACTGTGCTTCTCTTTATTACCTCCTGAATTCTTTAAGTCCAATTATCTGTATAGGCCTCAAGTTTTCTCTGCCAAGTTGGTGATTTACATTAAATACACTAAACCTCTTGATTAATTCGTTTCTTCAAGGCCTAGTAATTGCAGGATGTCCTTTCTCAGTGCTAACTGTATGCCTCTCTGACTGCAACTTTAACTTGTATATATATGCAGAATACATCTTGCACAAAATAACTGCATCTTTCTAAATTTCTGAGTTACTTTCTAGTGAGACCTGGTCTCAAGTTTCAATTGTGGAGGAAAGTTTTCTCAAGTTGTCATAGAAACTTTGGTTGTATTTTCTCTGCAGGTCCCTCTGTATGGCAGTATGACCCTCTGCTCTGCCACCTATCTATAAATCTCAGATTTATATCATCATCAAACTTGAAATGAAAGCTTGAGGTGTATGTAAATAAGTATCTCTAAGATAGCTAAGAAATTCTGTAATAAAATTATGGGGCATTTTCCTTAAATGCAATCTGCCCTCATACTTCTACTATCACTAAGGTGTATCTTAATTATTTAATACTATTTGTAAGAAAGAAATTTTTTACTTCTTTATTTTCTTTAGTAAGGATTATTAAAATGAATATGCTGAAGTTGTTTGTTTGTTTTCTTTCAAGGAAATATTCTATCTGGAAAACCAAAAGGAGTATGAAAACAAAAAAGCTGCTAAGAAGAGGAGAATACAAGTCCTAGGGAAGAAGATGAAAAAAGCCATTAAAGGGCTTAACCTGCAAGAATATGATGATGCATCTCGTGAGACTTTTGCTAGTGATACGAATGAGGCTCTGGCTTCCCTGGATGACCTACAGGAGGGGCATCATGAGGCAAAGATGGAACCTGAAGATACTATTGAGATTGATAATGCTCATGATTTGGAGATCTTCTAGTTAACTGATGTTCTTGATAACAAAGTCTCTATAAAACATTAAATGAGCCCTTCTTTTAATCCCATGGCTTCTTGTTTTCATAACCTGCAGAGACATGGGAAATACTTGATGCTGAAGAACTTAACACAATTCTTAGCTAGTTTTAACAGCATGAAAGATGTTAATGGTCCTATTACTTGTTTGAGTCTTCAAAAACTGCTATGATTTTTCTAGGTAACAGCTCTGCATTGCAGTGATTGTTCCTCAAGATTTTGTTTTAGCCAAATGTTAGATTTAAGAATTCAGGATATTTTTTAACCACATGCTTCATACTTAATTTGCTAAAGCTAACAAAGTCATCAAGTGAGCAGTGCCTCATTACAACTGAAGGGAAAAAACAGTATAAATTTAGTCTTTATATAAAGGATTGTATGTCCTTAATATGACAATGTGTTGACAAGAATAGCAGTATTAGAGGATTAAGACCTCTAAAACAGATTGGTTTGTGAAAGAAACTTAAGTTTAATGGTTAATGACCTTTGAATATCAACCTTGTAAATAAGCACTCTTGAGCAATGTATGTTTTACAGTTCTGCAGTAGCTTAATCCCCCATGTTATAATAGAGGTTTGAGCTTCCTACCTATTATGTGTAGACTTTTTCCATACCTAAAAACAAACCCAACTTAAGCAGACCTTTTTGTTTGAAAGTCCCCACTTACATTAGTGAGATTTTGCTAACCTGTGTTCCCCTCAAGGGTCTGTAGATTCTACATCCAGGTAGACTCTATACCCTTTACTGTGCAATTCATGTTTCTGTGTTGCTCCCCACATGTGCAATAGGACAAAGTTAATGTGTAGCTTGCAGAAGTTCTGGTTTTTCTATGGTGAGACATAAAAACCAGCAGTATGTAAAATATTATTTTTACTTGATGCAGAAGGCTGTTGTGCGGTCTGTAAGTTCAGCTGAAGCCAACTTTTATGTTGAGTGTTGTTTTTGATACAACTGAACAGATGTGACTGACATGTATGATGTCTAAAATACTTTGTCACTAGTAAGTTGTGTTTTCTGTGAATAGGCACTAATTTCTCATTTAAAATATTCCTGAAATATTAATGAATTAATTAACTTTCAAGCACCACAACAACCTTCTGCATGTAGATTTTGTTCACCTGGAGTCTTAGAATCTCAGAAGTGAAGCATGTCACTGAAACTCATAATGAAGTTATAATATTGAACAATTCTGTATTGTCAAGAGCTGATATTTAAAGGGCAACAATATTTGAAGAAAGAGTTCTTAAACATAGAGCAAAACCCATTGTATGGTTTACTAAATAATTAAGGGTTTTGACTGCAAAAGTAGAAAGCAAGGGTAAGGTTAAAAGTTTTCTCTCTCGCTCCCACATACTCAACTTGTTTAGTCTGTCCTGAGTCAGGACAGCATTGTACCAAACTGGATTGTGGGGTCTGTGTTTTGTCTAGCAACAGATATGGCTGACTGCTTAGTATCTGATGTTTTACAGGCAGAAAATGCAACTCTAAGGGTAGAGTTTTGTATTCCTAAGTTTCTCTGATAGGCAGGTATGATTGAGGTATCAATTTTACTGCAAATGTGGGCTGCGTACGGCCAGGACAAATGCCCCCTCTGTCCCTTAACCTACGGCAGCTTAAGGAATAAACCATCTCTGTTATACCTGAAGCAGGCAATGAAAATGAGGGAAACATGCTGTGGTTTTAAAACACATCTTGATTGTGACCAAAGATGCTTTTCTTCCTTACATCCCAAGTTCAGACAAGAAAGCAGTGCTTTTTGGTGTCACAGGAAAAAATAGTTTATTAATGGTTCAGTCTTACAGTGGATTGTGAAAGCACCACTTCAAGTATAACTACAACATTACAGATTTTCTTCCCCTTCCTGGTAGATGGTCTCATTAAAATGCTTTTATGCCCTCCAGGCTTAGTAACTGTTCTTTACCAAAATTCTCAAGCAAGCCTGGGATGACCCAGTGTTTACTTTGATGCCTTCAAAAGAAGATCCAAATAATTATTTTAATTGAAAGGTAGTGATGGTGAGATCAGAAAGTGGCTTTGTACATCTTAATAGTTGACCCACATTCCCCAAGAGCCTGCTGGGCATCTGCAACAACTGGTATTGAATCCAGTTAAAAACATCAAGCCAGGCAGCAATGCTCTGCTAGTCTCTGTACCATCTTCATTGTGCTAGCAGGAAACTTTATCCTGAAGCTTACTACCACCTAAAAGATGTCTAAATGTTTTACTCTGATTCTCCTTATCTTGACCATAATTTAAAATAAAAACACATGGCTTTCACTCCAGTGTTATGAGAGGCAGGCAGTTGGCACATGTGGGGTTATTAATTCTGTGGACAGGTTTGGTAAGGGCTGTAGTTTCTGAAAAATCGACAAGGAGGGCCCTCCTCTGGCTCCTGCAGCTCTTCTTGTTCCCCACCATGGGTGGGAACAGGGACAGAGCTGGGAGCTGCTGGGACCCCCTTCAGGGGTAGCTGATGAGGTGCTGGGGAGCTCTTCCACCTCAGCTCAGCCAGGGCTGCTGCAGGGGCTGGGGGAGCTGGGGATGTTGAGCTGCTCCCTCTCACGGGTGCTGCAGCAGCCGCTGTTGTGCTAGAAAAGGGTGCAGCCCTGAGAGCTGCAAGGAACAACTCCCCACACATGACATCAGCACCAACAGCCTTGCATGACACTCCAAACCTCGAGGCTGCAGGACAAAGTGCCACAGGCTTTCCCAACACCCCAGCACTGCTGGCCAGGCCTCTGGGCTCCCCTGCTTCCTCTCATGGAGGGTCACAGGCAGCACTTGGCTCAGTCTGGAGGTACTACTGTGATCCACCTAACCTTTTCAGTTTGGGGATTTTTTTTTTAACTTCTTTAAGCAGTATTGCTGTTTCTCTACCTAACTGAAACATAAAAAAAGCACTTTACTCTGCTGAAGCAGAAATAAATTATTCCCAAACCTAATGAAGTGAACTAAGATTTTTCTAAAGGAATAATTTCTGGTTTACAGGCTCTAACACCTTTTAAAATAAAAGGAGGCAAATGCAGAAAATGTGCTGAGGATCTAAGTGAAGAATAAGCTGAAATAATGTAAGCCCAAACCAAAATAAAAAAAGTAAAAAGTAAAAGTGAAGAGCGAAAAAAAGCCCAAACTGATGTACACATCTAAGAGGTCTCATTCCATTTTGTCTTGCAATTCTTTCCCCTGCTCCTCATTTTGAAAATTCCCAGTTGTCAGGCTGGAGGATGGCAAGTGGGTAATTTAAAGAGAAAAAAATTATTTAATTTTGCATGAGTTTGAGTATTTTTAAGTTTTCCATAATGTGTCTAAACAAGTATCCTGTTGGATGTTTGCCTTACCTAATAAAAGTCAATTTGTCTGTTGTAATTTTAAGTTAGACACTTCTATATTATCTTAGAAAATGTTACATATTGAAGCTTAATTTTAGATTACTCTCCTGAAAAATGTGGTTTATTCCAGGTTACTGCATCTTCATATTCTGTTTTGTAGCTGGCTAACTATTTAATCCAATGGTCAGAAGCTGGCTTCAAAGCTGTAGGTCCCTCGTCATAGAAATACAAAATTTCTGTGGAAACAAATAACAAGGACTTTGAAGATTTCTACATACTTATGATCTGTTTCGTTTTGTGTTCATAGAAATACTGATCTCCAAATAGTGTTATTTTTCCTGAAATGTTTAAAATCTAAATAAGTTGCATTTATATTTACTTAAGATCTAGTCTGTATCTTGCATCTTCTTGTTTCTTCCTGCAGAACTTCTGTCAAAGGGGATAAAAACCTATGATTGATACAATCGTCCTTTTCTACAGAAGGTAATAAAAATGAGCTAATGGATCTTTGCTATTAATGTTAAGTGAGTCTGTTTCCCTGCTCTTTGTTATAAAACTTGTTTTTCCACTCACTGGCTGCTACAAGGCATAGCACCTTTCATTAATGAGATAAGATTTCTGTCTACAAAGTCTAATTTTTTATTTTTTTTTAATCAGTAGGAATGTTAACTCAAGTTTTTAGGTATTTTTGTCCTCTTGCAGCTATTAAATGTTTGCCATTTCAATAATACTTCAAGAGAACTATACAGTATTTACTTCTGTAAATGGGTGCAGAATCGAGAGCCTTTTATAAAATCCTATCCCCTGCTGAGCAGAGCAGATCCCATTAAAGTTGGCATGGATGAGCAGTCATTTATCCCTGGATGGAATTTGGCCCTTTGTGAGATGCCATTTGGAATTAATAACCAAATCTCTTAAACCATGAGGAACTAAGCTTTAGGATTCCAAAAATTCTTCATGTGCAAGGCAGTCAATGGTGAGTGTAAAACAATTTTACAATGATCCAAGTAAAACTCTTGCCTGGGAGAAAATCAACAGAGTACCTGAAACTTAGGAAGGTGTGACTTAAAACCATTTATAACCTTCCTGTCCTGCCTAGAGAAATTTCTAGAGGAAATATCATTCTAAATTTACATTCTTGTGATTGAGGAGGGAACACTGTAGTACATGTAGGACTTTCATATGCAACTAAGAACTCCATGTACACTGAGTGTACTCACTGCAAACATGAAAACTTTTTGGGGAAATAAGTGCAAATAGTACCTACACATTTGGGACTACTAAGGTCCAAACTCCCAATAAGACACAGGGATATCAGAATAGTAATAAACTCAGAGTCTTACTTGACAGAAAACAAAATGCAGGTGCACAGATCTACAAGCATACATAGAGAGCTTCTTGAAAATAGCTGCTGAAAGTTTAATCCCATTACAGAACAAATAATCCTATCCTTAGCCAGTTTTTTTGTTAATTTAGCAGCAGAGAACTATTACCTTGGAAATGCTACCCAGAGCACAATCATCAAAAGCTAATAGGTCTTTCAAGAGACAGCAGCTCTTCCTAGCTCTATTTAGGTACTGGGAGTTGTCCACAGAGGAGTCTGACCAAGCCTGGAAGCAGAACTGCATGAAGATACATTTCCCCTCCATGCCCACCGTAGGTATTGTGATCCCTGAGCTGACATGGGAGAGTGTCCCATTGGTTCAGAAACTTGTAAGATTGACCTTGACCAATTCCATCCACTATACTTCCTTGC